TGTTGAGAAGCAGTGCCCGAAATTATGGATATCAGGTGACTGACTGCATACAGCTAATGTGAATTACAGCAAGCATAACCTCAATCTGTGTTCTGGACCCCCGAGTGTAAAAACGCAGCATAATGTAATTGGAAACCATGATAATTTGTAATAGACCATGATAATTTGTAACTCCCAAAACTACTGGGAAGGCTGTCTGTTTTGGTTATAATATTTTTCTCTTTTTTTTTTTTTTATGGTACCTGATATCCACCCAGTCCGTTTGCTGCTTGTCTCTTGTTCCTAGCAGCGACACATGAAAAACTGTATCTTCTTTCTGCAATATTTTGCAAGGTTGTTGCTTGCCTACTCTCTCAGAAAGACCATATTCAAGCAGCACCAAGCCTGTGCCATAAGGAGATTCTCTCTGAAACTTACAACCATAAAAAAATTCAACTGGAGTACCAGGGAGAAGGCTGACAAAATACAGTCAACATTTTTCGCTAAAAAAAAAAATGGTTCTTCTGGCCTCAGATGAGTAACGGAGGTGTGTTCAAAAGCACAGCACAGCAATATGGATTTTCGACATAGGATGCCTGGAGTAAGCCTCTCTTAGGTTACAAGAAATCAATACTCCTGCAGCGTAGGTAGGTCTATAGCATTATTCCTTAATAGGTTATTGATATCATGGTAGGTGTCTCCAGTAAAGCCTGACCTAAGGAAGCAGCAGCAGTAAAGGATTCCTCTTTTTACTGTTTACAGGAAAGAAAGTGTTAAACGACGCACTCTGCAAGACATTTCTCAAAGAATGGCAATTAGTTCTCCTGAAAGGAGTAGAGATACTGGGATAATGAAGTTGTCAGTAAAACAGCCTTTGCTTTAGATTGAACAAGCCCAGCTCATTCAGGCACTTTTCACGGGGCAAATCCTCCATCCCTGATTCTGGTAGTGCTAGAACTGTATCATAGAATCATAAAATAGATTAGGTTGGAAGGGATTTGAAAGACCATCCAGCTCCAACCCCATGCTGTGTACAGGTTTGCCAACCACTAGATCAGGCAGCTCAGGGCCCCATCCGACTTAGCCTTGAACACCTCCAGGGATGGTACATCCTGTTCCATCATCTCACCACAATCTGAGTAAAAATTTTCTCCTAACATCTAATCTAAATCTCCCTTCTTTTAATTTAAACTATTCTCTGTTGTCCTATCATTATCAGACCAGATAAATGGTTGCTCTCCCTCTGGACATGCTTAGGAGGTGTTTAGTGATGTATGCATTTGCATTTTTGGGGTTAATTTCGGCAGCTTCCTTCTATATAAGCCTTTGGACAGAGTTTGTTTCTGAAGGTGAGATCAATTTAAGTAAACACAGGACATGTGAATTGGCCTAAACTGGCAACTCCTAGGAGTAATGACTATCCATTATAAATGATAGATCAACAGAACTGTGCATCAACCTCTATTTTCAGCCTCGTAATACACAGCGTGGTGTCATCTTATTGTGTGCTTTAATTCCTGGTTTGCAATAATCTGCTTAGTTTTGCAAGAAATTTCAACTATGAGTGTTTCTTTTAAACTTCAAAGAGTAAAATTATAGAATCACAGAATTGTTTAGATTGGAAAAGACCCTTAAGATCAAGTCCAACCATTGACCTGGCACTACCAAGTCTACCACTAAGCCATGTCCCTAAGCACCACATTCATACATTTCAGGATTATGACTCCACAACTTCCCTGAGCAGCCTATTCCAATTCCTACCACACTTTCTATGAGGAAATTCTTTCTGATATCCAATCTAAACCTCCCTTGTTTAAGTGTGAGGCCATTTCCTCAATTCTTGTCACTTGTCACCTGAGAAAAGAGACCTCACTGCTAGTTCCTTTCAGGTAGTTGTAGAGTGATGAAGTCTGCTTCCTCTTCTGCAAACTAAGCAATCTCAATTCCCTCAGCCACTCCTCATATGTCTTGTTTTCTTGTCCCTTCACCAGCTTCGTTGCTCTTCTCTGATTACATTCCAGCAGCTGTTTTCTGTTTTTAGTGAGGGGTCCAAAACTGAACACTCAAGGTGTGCTCTCACCAGCACTGTGTATGCATGTAGCTGTCTTTCATGAAACTGACAACTAGTATCTTATTTAGGATTGAGTCCTTTCCTGAACTTGGATAGAGTTACGAGTTATTAAAAATGTAAAGAACTATGTATTAAAATGATCTGATACTTTAGAGATAATAAATTTTGAAATGTAACTTTACTTGATATTGTGTGAATTTAGTAAAATACATCAGATTACCAAGTGCTTTGTAATGCTTGCATAAAAATACTATTTAATAAAATTGTATTTTTCTTCCTATACTTAATTTTTAATAAAATGTTAACGTTTGAAACTCTGCTTTTACCCTGAAAGCCATATTTGTACTTTCAAGACAGAGGTGAGGAAAATAGTGTATGGCTCTGCTGGTGCCTTTATTTTAGTTGATAAAACTATCATCTGTGTTAGAGGTAATTTTGTACTTACTGTCCTTAGTAGATTTTCTTCATCTGCAAGGATGCCATTGAAACCAAAATTTAACCTAGAAAAGCATTTCCACTTTGAAAAAATGTTGGAAGATAAGCAGAAAAGATCAGTAGTAACAACCTAAGATAATTAAACTTAATCTGGAGAGAAGAAATAGAGTATAAAAATTGTTTTCTGCTCTGGCTATACTTTTAGTTTGCTATTGAGATGTTTTGGCTTTTTTTTGTATCTAATTGCAAATCAAGTGGCAATAGTCTACTTTTGCTGTGCATGATATCAGTGTTTCTGCTCTGCCAAGTATTCTCTCTGCCCTGAAAGTGTGAAATGTTTAATTATTCCCAAGCGCCACTTTTGATCAGGGTGACAATGAGTTTCTTATGTTTGGCAAGTTCTCCCAGAATCCTGGTGCTTTCAGCTTTCATCTGAAAACTACTGCCCCTATTCAGTATGCCCTGCATGGTTGGATGGCCTTTCTGCATTTCCTTTTAAAAACATTGATGCTTGCTTTCGCAGAAACCCCTGCCTTTTAGGAAACAAACGTGCTTTCGAAAGAAAATGGCAGTTTATAAGAATGGCTGGAAGTGTACTGTAAGACACTCAAGTGTTCTGCCTTGGAGAATTTTCTTGACAAAGGACATTAAACTTATGCCCAGAAGAAACAGAATTTGTGGTATAGCCAATTTTTTGATGTAATCACTGCATTTTGAATTCTATCATTTTTGCCGTTCCTTGCTGGATTTCACTGTCATTTAGCTTCCTCTTGTAAGTATCAGGGTGGAGATCAGCAATTTCAGGAACAGATGTTGAACAGAAGTAAAATCTTTTCTTCAAAAGTGATTCAGGAAATAACTCACCCTGTATGTGATGTTAGACCTTAAAGTAAACATACATACATATCTTGGAGTAACTGCCTAGTCATGATCTCCTTAATCAGAACTTGGGAGTATGAATACTGTACTGGCTTTCACTTTCCCCAAGCTCCATGTGCACTTCTGCTGTTAAGTAGCAGATGTACTGGGGAATGTACCCAAGGAATTATGGAAAATTAAAGGAAAAATAGTATAATCAGAAAATTAAAGGAAATTTAGTATTCTTTAGTATTCTTGGAAGACAGAATATTCTGATATTCTGACATTTCTTGAGATCGACTCTTTCTGCATCAAAATATGTGGAGTTATGACCGAATTGTAGAAAATCTATACACAGTCTACCTCATCTTTGTAAATTGCTTATTTTAACTTATGAACGTATGTTGGTATGACTCAAATTTGGCGCTCTTTCTCCTCCAACAATTGAATCTTACAACATCTGTGCTTACTAGATTAATGGTACTGTTGTGCTTACTAGATTAATGGTATTGTTGAGCTGTCTTTTACCTTTCTTAATGACATAGTTATTTTTCTTTTATTGGTCAACTCTTATTACTATTTCTTTTGTTCTAACCGTGTATTTGGCATAAGTGAGCCGTCTAGTTCTACACAGGTAGGATTTGAAAAGGTAATTCAGATGACATAGCTTTTATTTGGGTGTGTGCAACATCCTTTAGCAAATTTTGTGTATAAGATAAATGCTTCTATTTCGGAAAGTGCAGTTGTAACTTAACAAATGCACTGCTAATGTTTATATACAGAAAGTTTAAAGACAAGTGAAATTAGTAAAGCAAGGTCACTATCAAGCTTGCTCTTATGCCCCTGATAGACTTCATTTGATTTGAATTTGTACCTGTAAAGTCTTGCTGGTCCTTTTTATGAGGACTTTAATGGATAAGAATATTATTTTTGAAAATTACACAGATAGCTGTTCTCCCAATGTTATTTCCTCTAATGCTTCAATTCTCTAACAGTAAGTCAGTTGTCTGTCATCTCCAAAATACTACTAGCAGCACACTGCTTTTCCAAATCAGAAATACCTGCATTATTCCCGTAGATTGAAGGACATCAGTAGCTGGTGTGCAGCACTCTCTAGCCTTCTTGAACCAAGGTCTCACCATCTGAATAAATTTCTTCCCTTCATGTGCACTGACTCAGTATGGATCCTGAAGTCCTCATCAACTACTCCAGATCTTCATCATGTGCTTATTGACTCCTTCAAACTCTCAAGCTGTTATTTTAGAGAAAATAATGAAAAAGGAGAACAGAACTTAGATTAGGTTGAACAACTATCTTGTACAAAAATGGTGTTATCTGAACTTTCTCTTATGCACTTATATTGTGATGATTCCATTTTTTGTCATTGTATTACTATTGCTCTGCTTCTCACCCCCCCTCCCCCTTCCACTGACTTTCCCTTCACCCATCTCTAAGCTCATCTGTTTGCCAGAGTCTTCTGCTTGTTGTGAATGTCATACAAGCAATTGCCTGACTTTTCAAAGAGAAAATTCAGTGGTCTTGAGAAGGCTTTAAGGTTAAGTGGTAACACATGGAAAATATCAGAGCTGGTACATGAATTGTATTAGTGTTAGTTGTACACTGCAAATCTCAGTGAAAAGTTTTATATGTGTATAAAACAATAATTTGTGTCTTTTTTTTTATTTCTTACTCAGGTCATTGCCATAGTTATGGATATGTTTACAGATGTGGATATCTTCAGAGAAATTGTAGAGGCATCTACTAGAGGGATTGCAGTGTACCTCCTGCTTGATGAGTCAAACTTTGGTCACTTTCTGAAAATGACGGAGAAACAAGGCTGCCAAGTCCAAAGGCTCAGGGTAAGACTTACTGTGTTCCTGTTCCTGCTTGGACTTTCCTTTGCAACCCACTGAAAAGTTAAAATTATTTTAAAAGTGATTATCAAATGCTGCTGTTTCAAATTAACTATGAAGTAGAAATAGGTAAACTTTCAACAGAACCTTCTCTATTAATGTTGTTCTCTTTAGAAAAAACTTCTATACTTTTCATGTGTCATGCACTTGATAGAATTATATAATTTTTCACATATTGTTTATATAACATTTTCCTGTTGTTATATATTTAGGAATACTCCAGGTTTGGAAAACCTTTTTGCTTTATGTTAAATAACCTGCAAATAAAGTCATAAAGCTTATGCAAATAATTAGGAAAAATAAATGATATACTTCGTTTACTTCATTTTTTGTCTTTATTTTTTTAAGTGTGATTGTATTTCAAAATGCTTTTAAAAGCCTGGGATTCTATTTTAGTAATATTTCTTGAAAATATTTACAATAATGTCTGTTAACAGCATGTCTTAGAGAGTATGCAATACGAGAAGGCTTACTTTTATAAATTAGTTACATAGTTTTCTCCTGTAAGAAAGATAATCAGGAGAGGATTAATGTTTACATTTCTCAATCATTGCTTGCACCACCCTACAACTTAACAGGAAGTAGAATACAAACCATATGCTGCACTGAACTGACATGTGCTTCATAAATACTTCTAGATTTACTCTTTTGTAGATAGCTCTGAAAACGACGCAAGGACAGTGCCAGAGCTGCTCTGCAAAGATCTAGACATTTCCTTGTCTGAACTTGTATACCAATTTTTGCTCTGGAGTGTTGACTTAGACACACAGAGGTATTACCACACCATTTCCTGTACTTGTTCCTTGTGTGTGAGATTGCCCTCTGCTGGCTTAATACACAAAACTATGGCAATTTTTAGAAAGAAAAAGTCAGAAATGTTGCTTATCTGTAGACACTAGTAGCGATTGCCTCCATAAAGTCAATATATACCAATAGTTACACATGCTGCAACTTGAGGTACTACCATTTCCCAATGATTTGGGCTAACTATAGCATAGAGATTTCTAACTTTTTTTTTTTTTTAATTGTGTGACTTTTATTCTCCCAGTATAAATGAAATTAGGAGCATGCAATTGAAGTTCTATCTCTAAAAAATACCATAGTATGCATTTTCACATTTATTCTGTGCAGTATATTTCTATAGCTGTTTCTAAAGCCTAATTTTTAGGGGATGAGTTAGTTTTCTTTCTAAAATGGTTTTATAGACATTTATATACTGTGATATACTGTGGTTTTATAGACATTACATAGACTGTGATTGAAAGAACTCGTGCATATGTTAGAATGGATTTGGTATGGATTAGTGAGTTGGAAAGGTGTGGATTTGGTTTGGATTAGTAGGTCATAGAGGTTTGGATTTGGCCTCTTTAGTGGGATTATGTTTTATATGCTTCTGTTGTGTAATGATGGTACGAACACATTTACACTGAAAGTTTACTTAGAATGCTTCAAGATTTATCAGAAAATGAAAACATATGCCAAAGAGCTAAACATTAATCCAGTAATCCTGTTGTTTCCTGGGTTTCCGGTTTAACTTGTAGTAAAGCTCTTCTTTGCTCTCTATAACTACCTGCACCAGGGGAGATTTAGGCTGGACGTTAGGAAATACTACTTTTTTGAGAGTGGTCAGGCACTGGAATGGGCTGCCCAAGAAGGTGGTGGAGTCACCGACCCTGGCGGTGTTCAAGGAACGTTTGGATTTTTTTTTGAGGGATATGGTTTAGTGTGAACTACTGGTGATAGGTGGATGGTTGGACTGGATGATCTTGTAGGTCTTTTCCAACCTTGGGGTTTCTGTGATTCTGTGATTCAAGCTCCTCAGCCAGGTGCTACTCCCAGTGACTGTTGCCACAAGAATGAAAGTTTCCAGAAGAATGAAAGAATGAAAGCAGCAATTATTTCCCTCCTTGAAGATTAAGGGAAACTGCTGGTGATTATGAAAGAGCAGTAAATTCTTTGGAAAGGTTTTCTCCCTTTCTCTTTTTTTCTATTGCCTCAATGTTCACAAAAACAAACTATATTTAACTTTTTTTGCTTTTGAACTTCCTCTTCTATAGACTGAAAGCAATAAGAGGACTGAGATGTAAAAATATATTTATTTTCCTCAGGATACAGCAAGAACACTGTTCTTTTTATTCTCTGGTGTGATGTGGTTCTGTCTTGCAGGAGTATGGCAGATGTTCTTCATCCCATGCACTCCTGAAGTGGGGCATCTCTTAAGCTTTTCTGGCTTAATCAAAGCCCTCACAGGTTATTTTTCTCTTCCTTTCAATCAGTAAAAAATAAAATAACAGAGGATATGTTTTTGAATTCAGATTTACAATTCAGTCTTTTGTACATAAAAAGGGATTCATTCGTAAATCTACATTAAATGTCTATGCAGACAGTTTTCCTCATCTGTGATGTGAATGCATATCAGGACATATTACTGTCTTTTTTGAAAGCTATAACTAAAAAAAAAAAAAGACTATATATTATGTGATTGTTACGTGAATTCTGTACAGAAGAACATAAAACCAGGAATTTACTAGGAGCTTTTCCAGTCTCTTGTACAACATTTCTTCTTTTGGATTGATTTCTACTTAATATTTACCTTATCTTCTTCAGTGGCTCATCTCAAATAGATAGTGTCTTTCTGTACTCTCCTATTTCTCTTTCCTCGCTTTCAATTTAATTTCTCTGTTTCCTGACTGCCTTAATTTTTTTCCCCATTAGCTGATGTATTTCTCTTTCTTTCTCTTCTCTGTGTAAACTTGTTTTGATTAACTTTGTCACCAGACTGACTTGTTCAGTCAGCATTTCCTTTGCATAGAATATTGAAAAGCCCATACAAGAGCCTGACTTTTTTCAGGTGATTTTTCAAAACCTAATTGTTTTTTTGGTTTCCTGGAGGTTGTTGTTCATTTCTGCTGCTGACAAGTGCTGCAGCAAACTAGGAAATAGATTTGCACTGTGAAACGCATCAGGGAGAACAATCCTCAATATCACCAGAATGCTTAAGGAAGTAACTTGGTTTTGGATGAAAACACTGTAGAATGTAGAAAATGTTGATTATTGCCCAAGAAATCAACCAAGCTCTTCAGCTGAATATCAGAGTTCGGTTTTTTTATCTGATAGGAAATCATGAAATCATTGAATCACTAAAGTTGGAAAAGTCTTCTGAGATCATCTAGTCCAACCATCAACCCATCAGTACCATGGCTACTAACCATGGCCCTCAGTGCCACATCTACACATTTCTTATGTCACCTCCAATGACACTGACTTCACCACCCCCCTGGGCAGCCTGTTCCAGTGCCTCACCACTCTTTCTGAGAAGAAATTTTTCATAATATCCAAACTGAATATGAGTTGTGGTATATGGCAGAGGCTCTATATTGAACAGAAACCTATTTTTACTTCTCTGGAAATAATGAAGAATCATTTTACTAAAGGAGAATATTGCAAGCAATTTGACAGGAACTGTTTATACTGTGATACTCCTCTCAATATTTTTAATGAACTGGGGAAATGAGAAAGTAGAAGCAGTTATGAATTGTTTTTTTTCTTTTGTGAGATCTACTCCCAAGTGCTTAAGTGCAGGGGAGAAACTGTTTGTGAAAGCTGACTGCAGTCCGTTATTTCTTATGAGTTTTATCAGAATCATCAGAAGTTTTCTATTACTTCAAGTCTAAGTCAGATGTGGTCAGATATAGCTCAGCTTTGTATCAGTGAGCAAAATTCTGTCCTAAGGACTAGACTTCAATGAAGTCATTGAGAATTTGACTTCAGTGGTCACTGAATCAGCTTGAAAGTTATAGCAAAACCTAGCTGGAGAGCTGCTTAGCATTTGTACAGCAGGTGCTATCTCTTAGTAAGAACAGAGGCACAGGATAATAAATAACATAAGTAATGATGAAAAATATGGGAAATAGGACTATTTTCTTCTTTAAAGCTGCTAGGCTAACTATTAGGTAGACATCTATTCCCTTCTTCATGCTTATTCTTGACAGCAAGTACAGGATAAATAATTGAATACTGATAAAAACAGACTCTACAAATAAAAAATGATGTAATAAAATGTTTGAGACCAGCATATTCATTGTACTTATTTATCGCATGGGACGATTTTTACTGAGTAATTATATATGATTTGAAACTATGCTTCTGAATTTTAAGTCATGGTTATGTGGCTCTCCCTAGGAAAGTAGTTATGCATAAAGAGAAGGCTAAAGCTTGTTTTTTCTTCATCATCTGGGTGTCATTTATTTGAATAACCCTGATAGCCATCCTTAAACTGCAGCATAGAGACCCAAACATTGAATGTTTTAAATATCATAAACACAAACAACACTACAACCCATTCTTGGAGGGGGGAGAAGATCCTGGTTTTGGCTTCATAAACCTCCTAAAATATCAAGTTCTTGATTAAGTTGTTCTTCCACATGCATACACTAGCAGTCACTGACAAAAGTGGTTCCCAGGACCAGGCAGACTTACCATTTGACTGATCTTACAAACTTCAGTGTCTCCTGCCAGGCTAGCCTGATTCCCTCTTCATGTATGGATTTGTTTGTTTCCAGTTGCCCAGGATTTTCTGTCAAGATTCATAAATAAATTACTGCTTTACCCACAATGATACAGCATCTCTGCAGTGGTCATTGGCACACCTTTTTGAGTTCAGTTAGCATGGGAGTGCTATAATATGACAGTGAAACCAAGTAGGAAGGAGAAATCCAGCATTTCATACAAAGTAGGGCTAGCAATTCAGTTATGTATATTTGTATTTACTGCTAGTGCTCTTAAGTAGAGTTCAGCGTTCCTTTATGTTCTCAAATATTTTCTTTATTTTTGGAGGTTATTCAAAGGATGCATCCTTGGCAGCTAATTAGAAGGCTTGAAGGATGCCAGATGAGCTGTGGAGGAAGAGGAAGTGTTACATGAGAACAGTGAGCATGATCTCTGGCACATGCCTTTGTAGTGCTATGTTCCCATCTTTTTCTGGGTGACATCCTGAGACACAGAAAAGTTGGCAGGATTAAGGGAGTGGGATACAAATGCTGCAGAAGCAGTAGTATTGAAGAAAAGGAAAACCGGATGAGAAAACAGTCACTAAGATGTTTAAAAAAAAAAGCCATCAGTGAAATGTAAATTATAATAATTTTTTGGAGGATTGAGAGCCTACTTGAGATTTTAACTTATGATTACTTAAGGCAGTGGGTTTTTTATACAGTATGGTAGCTTGCAAGCCAATTAGCTTTGCTTGTGCCTACAGCATTCCAGATTCTCCAGTGATATTCTGCCCAATACTGTTTGGGTCTTATCTCAAAAAGATTTGATAGATTCCACTAGCATGTCATTATATCAGTATTTTCTGTTATTTTGACACAAATGATATATCAAATTAATTTAAATACTTAACTATTGAAGTTAATGCAGATTTTGTAACTAATCACATTTTGATGTATATTAAATAAAGGTTTACAATCCTGATAATCTTCAAAATGGGGCAAATTCCATTATTTTCTTCTTTTTAAAGTAATTACTATTTATTGCACTACTTAACTTACAAAATAAAAGGTTTTTTTTACAATTATTATTTAATTACTTCTATTTGCTGCTAAAGTAGCTGATGGGGAAAGAATAATTTTCTTCACTGGAATTGGCTTGTTCAAAATTCAGCAAAAAACAGTGCTGGCAAAACAGGAAAATTGACTTTCTTTTTTAGATACCAAGTTAAAATCAATGTTGTGATAACACAAAGGGCACAATGCTAGATAATCAAAGGTAATTAGCAGTTAGAGATGCAAAGAGACAAATAATGTTAACCATACTGCATACTGGGTTCTTATTATTATTATTGTTGATCATTTTTTAACTCAAAATAATCTGGGCATCCACATGTATTTTCACTGAGTCCAAGTAACTATTAGGTTTTACAGCACTGCTAGATAATCTTTTATTTAATCAATTTGATGTGACAAATTAAAATAAAGTTTATATTTCCAGCAAATTTGTAAGGCAAAAATACATTTTTAAATGTATTTTTTGTTCAAATACCCTGAAAAAAGAAAGCTAAATAAAAACTCAACTAAAGATATTTAAAGAACCATAAAGTCAAACTGCAGCTTACCAACTCATCAGTTTTTATGTGTAACTCTTCATTTTTTTTTAATTTTCTATTTTTAAGTAAAAATTTTAAGATAGAAACAAGAAAATATAGAGGGATTCAGCAAGCATGTTATTTCAAAATGTTTGTCATTTTGTCTGTATTTTTTCCTAATTTTTTCTGTTTAGAGAAAGTTCATTAGATTATTGTAGATATTGTAAAGCTGCTATAGCCTGAATTTACATAGTTCATGGTCTGATCCATTTTGCTTCATGAATAGATTTAATCAGTTTCCTGATTAAATCTATTCAGAACACACTTCTGCTGTGATTTTCAGCCTCTACTTGTAACATCAGAATTTGGAGCAGAATTTAACCTTTACAGTTAACCAGTAGTCACAAGAAACAAGCTATTCATTTGTCTTCAGAAATTCTATTATAATCCACTATTTCTGTATATGTAGTATATGTAACTATCATATAGATTGCTTTTTTACTGTCAATATTAAATTATGGATTTCGGTCCTACAGGAATACTTGTAAATCACCACACATTAATATTGCTAAAGCACATACTGCAAGGATAGAAACCACAATAAATATTGTGGACATTCACAGATATATTCTAATCTGTATTTTGTCTTTTGAAGTACTTCATATCCAACAGCCAAATGAGGTAGATGCTACAGATCAGCTTACATTAAATCTAAATTTCATTTTTCTTATATATAAACACCTCTTAATAAACATTTCTGACAAATGTGCAGGTTTGTTGGGTTTGTTGTTGTTCTTGTTATCATTTGGTTGGTTGGTATTTTACTATATCCATGTAAAAACTTTCTGAAATTATTATTAGTACACTCCTAAAGATATTGTTTAGAATAGTTTTATTTCTAGGAGCTTGCTGAGGAAGCTTTGTTCACAGTGTGGGAGAAAAGGTGACCATATTTCCATTTTCCTTCACAGAAGAATTCTCCAGGAGAATTTACTGAGTTTGCATGACTAAAACATAAAGTTTATGGATAAGGTTTGGAACTCAAACTGCTTTGAAGTTTGTTCTACCTATTCATGCTCTGATAGCATCTCTGGGTTTAGAAATGCAATCGCTTCCATGCTGAAAATTCAGTTGAGAAAAATTATTAGTGATACAGCTTCAAGGGATTGTGGATTCAGGTGGTATCATTCAATAGCTCATCACAAAGTGGGATGTCTGTACTTATAGACAGAACACTCTTGTTCAATTGAAATAAGTGATACTGATGCTTTAAGTGATATTTCTGACTACCTGAGATGTTTGGAAATCAGATGCTGAAAAGATACATTTTCAATACAAAACCTCTTTCTCTTGTCAAAGACTTCTTGTGCCAGAACCTCATTTCTGAGAGTGAATTCTACGGAAAACGGGGAAATTCATTTTTCCATGGCCTGGGAAATCTCTTCATTCATTAAGACAAAGGGATGACTTGCCATTTTGCCTCTCCAAGGGACAGGTTTGATCAAAGTTTACTGTCCTTTGGAGCTTAGTGGTATGCGGTAATGTAACTTCTACTGTACCTCTGATTTTCAAAGTCCTGGATGCTAAATGTCAAATATAGTCAATCAATTAAAGTATTTCAATTTTGTTTTTCAGAACATGAGAGTACGGACAGTAAAAGGACAAGATTACTATTCTAAAACAGGAGCAAAATTCCATGGAAAAATGGAACAAAAATTTCTGCTGGTTGATTGTAAGAAAGTTATATATGGTTCTTACAGGTAAGATTTGTCACTGAGGTGCTCGTAGATTACCTGTCATCTCAGTACTTCACTTACTGCAAAGTAAATATTTTTTTCCGTTTCTAAAAATTCTTCAAAGAATCTCCAGGGGCAAATTTGATTATCTTTACTGTAATTTGACAAGTTGTCATAGAGACAGCTTATTGGAAGCTTAAATGGATATATCATTTGTTTTTTTCTGAAGATTTGATGAAAAAAGAGAAAAATCCTGATTTATTCTATGTTGAGTTATTCTTGCTTAGTATTCACCCCAGAAAAGGCTTTCAAAAAATTTCGTAAGCTCTTTTCGATACTTTTTCCTTGTAGTAATCTTCTAAAGTTAAAATTATAGATCTACTCTATGCACTCTGTGTGATATCGTGGTCAAATTCAGAATTGTACAAGATAAGTTGGCATAGTCTCTCTTTATATTTGGATAAGTTTTATTATTCTACTTTCTGTTTGAATTCTAATATATTCTTGCAAGTCAGAAGACAGAAGAACTTACAGCTTTGCAGAATTGGAAAAAAGTTGAAGCAGTAACAGTTTTTATCTCACAGATTATTTTTCTTATCTTCATGGTTCACTTCTGTCTTTTGGCTTACTGAATTAATTTCTGCCAGAATAGCGCCCGGGTGCCAGATACATAGCTACTGATTTTTGTATATTTCCACTACTGTAAGCTTTTGAAAATCTGTCTCTTTATTTCCTCTGAGACTCAAGCAGCATCTAATTTAGATTGATATGTGTAAATGGTACTGAGATAAATCAGCAGTTCATAAATGAGTCAGTATAAGGGAGTCCAGAGAGAGTCTGCCTGCTTTGACATCTACACACATTGTTAGAGTCTGTAAGAATGTGATCGGTTTTCTCATTTCTTTTTGAAAAATAACATGACTTTAAGACAGAGGTGGGAATCACCAATTTCTGTTAAAATTAAGCTTTCTTTGAAAAATAATTCAGTGATTTACAGCAGGAAAGAATGATGTTTTCTGAATTCTTGCTCTCTGAACTCAGTTTAATTTTTTTTACAAATATTGCAAAATATATTGTTATCAATAAGTATTTCTTTGAAAAAAGAAAAAAAAAAGAGAAATTATGTATCATAATTTTGTTTAAGCTCATCACACTATTCCCCAAAAAATTCAAAACTAGCAAATAAAACTAAACCAGCAAGCTATTTACGTGAATGCAACAAACCATTTTCCTCACAAGCAGGAGATGCAAATAAAACGAGTTTATTGCTTTCATTTAACTTTTTTTTTTCTCACTTATTTTTGGCATTAAATTACGATCATAGGACAGATTTTTTTTTATTTGTTGTAGTCTACAAATTATATGCTTTCAACACCATGTTTTTAGGCTTATTGAAATATCCTTGGTGTAGTTGTTAATGTATTTTATTTCATATTGTAGCTACAAAGTAGCATAGATAGTTATATTTAAACATGGTTCAACTTTTCTATGCACAATTGAAAGAAAGAAAACTTCATCAGGATATTGTACATTGCAATTAATAGAAAAGTTAATATTCAATCCCATGTGCATGCTAGAACATGAATCTTTTTGACAATTTTGAGGTGCATCTTTTTGAGAAGATGTTTAGAATAAAGTATATTCAGACATGTGGAAATCATTTCATGTATTATTTCAAATGCAGTTTTTTTAACACATAGCCATACCCTACTGTTCTCTGACTCAGGAGTGGATCTGGTCAATTCTGGCTTAGTCTTTGTAGAGGTAATTCGGCACAATTAGATATTTGTGTTCCAGTGTTCTGTACTTGAGAATACTTTTTGCAATATTTGCTGTTTGTAAGGGTTTTTAAGTAGCTATTTCTGCTCCCACCGAAATCAGTGGAAGTCTTCCACTGAGTTCAAGTCGTGTTAGATTAGATCTTCTAGTAGCAAATTGTATGAATCCTACTCCCAATTTATTTATTTACTAAATCTATGTTTACTTGATTTTTCTTTTTTCAAGGACCAGTGTTTTATATTAGTTCAAAAGAACTGTTCCTAATGGTCATTTCTTCTTCTTTCAGCTTTATGTGGTCTTTTGAAAAAACCAACCTCAGTATGGTTCAAGTTATAACAGGACAGCTGGTTGAATCCTTTGATGAAGAGTTCAGGACACTATATGCCCGTTCTTCTGTTCCTAGTTCATTTGCCCCTGAATTAGTGCGGGTAAACAGCCGCAGGACGCTCTGGGATAATGACACATGCCAACACTCAGTGTCTTCCTTAGCTTCAGTTTCTAGCCAAAGAAACCTTTTTGGTAGACAAGACAAGATTCACAAGTTAGATCCTGTTTATTTGAAAACTCGTGGACGATTTGCAGTAAATGAAATAGATAAATTTGGCTTGAGAAATCAAACTTTTAATAAACAACCATTTCATCCAGGTTTTAATATGCAAAATCCAATCCAGCAGTATCAACCTAGTGAAAAAAATGAGCACTGGAAGAGACATAGTTATGCTGGGGAGAAGCCGGAAAGGACACCTTACCTACTGCTTAACAGAGCTATTAATAGAGCCAATAATCCATCAAATACTTGGAAAATGCCATCTGATAGCCTTAGTATTGTATCTTCATTACGAGGAGGATATGCAAATAATTACAATACACCCCAACAAAGTTTTGCTGATCAATTTTCACGACCAAAGGTAAATCTTGCAGAAAGAAATTCAATTGTACGGAGGTCTTTTAATGGGACAGATAATCAAATCCGCCATCTGCAGCAAAGGATGCCAACACTCGAACACACAACAAAATCATTCCTACGTAACTGGCGAATTAAGTCATATTTAAATGACCATTCTGATTATCCAATAGAGTCTAATGGATCAATCTTGGGTGACAGATACGATGGCTATGACACAACTGAAAATATTAAAGCTCATGCTCTGTACTCCCACTCTCGCTTACGATCGTCATTAGTGTTCCAGCCAACTTTACCTGAACAACAGGAGGTAAGCAGCTGTGCAAGTTCTTCAAATTCAACTATAATTGGGTCAGAAGGAAGTGAAACACCTAAAGGGACATCTAATCATGCACCAAGTTTGGAAAATGGAACAGATAATACTTCAGAAGAGCTTAGCACAAATGCCTCACCTAAATCAGAAGCACCCAAAAACCACAAAATTCAAATGGCAGAAAGCAGAAAGCCTACTGTAAATTCGAATGCAGTAGGGGACCCATCTGCCTATATATACACAACACTCTGTGCAGACAAGCATGCAGAAAACATGAAAAATCTTCAAAATGACAATATCCTTAAAAGGAGAAGCTTTCCCATGTTTAATTCAAAGTCTATATTGGACCCTCATGCTGATAAACACACATCCAGTTATGTTTACAGCACACTGACTAGGCATAGGCTTAAGCAGCCAGTTAGTCCAAAAATTCCAGAAGATACACTAAAGAGCTCTAAAAGTTTGCATAGTATGGCCAACCATTTACCACAGGAGGAAAAGGATCTTAAAGGAGAGCTGAAGAGCCCAACTGCTACCAAGGCAATCTCTATGGCTGTTCTTGCTGAAGCTATCAAAGAGGAGTCTGGTAAGGATTGTACATCAAAGAAGGAAAATAAGAGTTCCCCAAATTTTCTAAAGAAAGGATCCCAAAAATTGCGGTCACTTCTTAATCTCACACCAGACAAGAAAGAAATCTTGTCAAAAAACAAAAGTCCTGCCTTTTACAGAATGTGTAGTAGTTCTGACACTTTGGTTTCTGAAGAAGAGAATCAAAAACCAAAGGTATCTGAAAATAAGACAGATTCTTCCCCAAGGAGAAAGAGAAACACATCAAATTCACAAGGTAGCTTGAACAGAAGTAAAGAAGATGTCACTTCAAGCCCATCAAAGTCTCCAAAGTCTCCAAAGTCTCCAAAGTCTCCAAAGCCTCAAAAACCTCCATCTGATGAAAGCAATAAAAAGTGTCCTGTCTTGTGTCCTCTTGAAACTAAGTTCATAGAAACTGCAGGAGATGCATCTACCCCAAGATTTAATACGGAACAGATTCAGTATCAAGATGTAAAGGAAATTACCACAAATGCTGCTCCTGAGAGTGCCCCTGTTTGTGCTCTACAAAGAGCAACTTCAGTGACACCGCAACTGGCAAGCTCAAAACATCAAGAGGATCTCAGATCTCGTTCAAGTGAAAGACGTGTTTATAGTCGCTTTGAGCCATTCTATAAGATGGAAAATGCTAGTCAACTTGCAGGAAATACACTAAATAGCAGTTCACATCTCTCAGATATGAAAAGCAAGACCTTAGGGAATAACTATGGCAGAAGTAATCACCTGGTCAGCTACAACTCAACTGCTTATCATCCATTTCAGCCTAATGAAAATAAACTGAGAGGATTCATGCAGAAATTTGGGAACTTTCTACACAAAAACAAGTAAAACTTCTGCTACTGTTGTTGATATACGGCAAGAATAGCAAAGCTGTACATTCCTAACTGGACAAGGCCGATGAACTTTTTTGTAGTTTTCTAGTTTTGTAGAACTTATTTAGGTTTCTTCAGAATCGAGGACAATTGAATGAATGTACATATTTTTACATAATTACCCTAGGATTATTATACTTCAATCATTACTGAAATTCTGTGTCCAGAAAACATCTCAAGGGAGTTGTTTATAGTGTTTATATTGTAAGATTACTTTTATACGTTTTCTTTGTGAAGAAAGTGTGTGTTAGCATCTTGTAAGATTGCCTGTGGGGGAAAAGAAATATGGAGAGTGTTTTTAAACTTCAAATAATACCATTTCCAAAGATATTCCCTTTAAAAATAGGATAGCACTAGGAATAGTGGCTTGCATCTTTTCAGCATTTATGTACATTTTCAAATGATAAACACAGATGTTAATGCATTGCACGTTACTTATCCTTAAACTCATTTTTAAACCCTCTTATAGATTTCATCTTGGTAATAATTTACCCCCTAGCATCGTATTGAGCTGTTTAGGCAGCAGATGGATCTTCATTGAATTTTCCGTTTAATATGATGTTTTCTGAACTATTTGGCACACATCTTAAAGTGACCTTAATCCAAGCTTTTACAGACTTGTTTACATGGCTAAAGTAATGTGAATGTAGGATGAATGTTGAAAAAAAGAAAGTAACAAAAAAAGACCCCCAACAGTTTATAAACAGGGTGCCTTCAAAAGAACTTACAACTGGTTTAAATTTCAGTGAATTAAGTACTTTTGTATAACATGCCAGTATTCTGTAATGTATTCTAAAAATAATTTTTTTGTTAGATTTTTCTGTTGTTTCCATGAAAAAAAAGTGGATTTCCATTTCTCAGGTAAGTCTTAGAGTTTCATATGCAACAGTCTGTGTAAAGTGTTGCCAGATTATGTACAACTCTGCCTTTAATAACCTATTTTTTTGATAGTAAGGTTGCAAGTGCTTAGACCAGGCATGTGAAGGAGGTTGTAAACTCGACACTGCAATACTTGAATATTCCATGCCCTGTTGCTTTATGTCAGGAAGATTGTCAGAAGGCCAGGAACAATTAGATATCTAAAAATGAGACTGATGAAAGCTACCACATCAAGCAATATGACGCCTCTCCTAAAGTATCAATGAAGGGTGATAGCAACAACTGTTTAACATTAGTGAACGTATTCAGGCACCTAGTTGCAATCTCAGGGGATGTATCTGTGTGTTCATTCAGACTCTCAGTCTCTCAGTCATAAGAACTTTCTTGATATTAAATGCCTATAGCAGATCAGTGCATACAGAAAAACACAGGGACATGGCATCTGCTTCTTACCTGCGGCTCATAGTCAAAGCATCCACCTGGCTCATGGCCCTCCTTGGTGGCGGTCTTTCTTTTAGGAGAGCGCCTGCAACCATTTAGCTGCAAGATGCTCTGGGACAATCTTGTTTCATTTGAATTCTGTAAAGCTCTTCCACCACACTTTACATAATTACATATTAAGAGGGCTGAAGACAATAAAGTGGACATTTCTCTGATTATGGCAGTCAGCATTTTGGAAAGGCATATTCACATCCTTGCCTTGCTAGCACACCTGCCTCTTCTCAGTATATGTCTTAGGCATGTTTTGAGAACAGCAACTGAGAACTAAGTTCTAGTGGGATCATGAAAAATACTTTTTTAGGAAAAAAATATACCTGCAGCAGGCACTGGGCAACTCAGCATTTTTGGGGATTTAGGCAATATTGTAAATTTTCAGCAACAGAAATTTGGGTAACTTCATTGCTGAAAGCTTATGTACCTTATACAGGGTTTTCATGTTTCAGGAGCATGTTTTGGGAGACCGTTTCGCTTTTAGATCTGAAAGGTCCTACAGCATTCCATGCCGGAATCCCATTGCGGAGGTTGTGGTTTGTCCTTTAAAAACATTAAAAAGGCATTTCATGCCCCAGCTCAATTGAGTTCATTTGTCTGTGCTACCTGTGATGCTGAGAGGAGATTTTACATGGAAATCTCATCACTAAGAATTTCATTTGAATTTCATCAAACTGTTTCTCAGGCAAACTTACTAGGTTGATGCATTATAATAATTACTGTTTCACTGTGGGGATGGTATTTATTTTTAAGGGCCTTGTGTCTCAATCCTCTGCTGAAAGTTTCAGTCACCCCTTTACCTATGATTTACTTGGGATGGAAAAGACTATGAATTTCTGAATGGACACCGGCCACTTGATCACTCCATGCTAAAATGCCCTAGTACATATCTTTCCCAAATGAGCATTCATAGCGTCCTGTCAGAAGCAGCAATTTCAGGCCCAGATCCCGAGGCAAGATGTACCTCCTTAGTATTATGTGCATATTTTCAACATAGGCACAACATAATTCCCCAAGTAGTTTTGAAGTGGCAATTCTTTGCATTTTGTAGTAGAATGTGGGAAACATATTTTGATACACTTAGGAGTCTTTTTCTGTATTTTCCAGAGTGGATTGTTTATAAGAGAGTCCTGAGAAAGCAAGTATTTTAATTTACCAAGTCACCTATATATAATTCCATTTTGTATTTATACACAGCAGATTAAGTGTCTTCAGTGAAGAGCCTGCTCATATGCTTAATAATGCAAAAAAAATAATCACAGTAAAATTTTCTTTTTCATTTCCATGTATCTCCTCAGAGACTATGCATTGAGGCCTGATCCAAGATTAACTGAACTGAATGAAAATGATCACCACTGGCTTCAGTGAAAGTTGGATCAGACACATAATGTAGTGATGCCACTATTTTAGAGGTGTGACAAAATGCTGCTTGGAAAGCATGCAGCCCTGGCACTGTGGGAGCAGCAGCTTGATGCCCTGCCTGCAGCTTTAGAGATGAGGGAGCCCTTGGTAGAGCTCCAAGGCAAGTGATGCAAGGACCAGCTGCCTTGTTGTTCCCACTGGAATTGTGTGTTATAGGTGGGGAAGCAGTGCTCAGCTGTTTGTGTCTGATTTGCCTCCTGTCTGTGGAGGATCCCACCTGTTCCACAAAATAGATAAGTGTGGAAGAAAATACATAAGCTCTTTGCATCAGCAAAATCTGTGTCTTTTTGGAAGGAGGAATAGAGCTTATATATTTAAACTTCCTTTTCCCCAAGCTTGTCTTGATCTTTCTGCTCTTCCAAAGGAGATGCACTTTGTTCAATGTGTCCTGAATGTGCTTTACACATTGCAGGTTTGTTACACCCTGCACACACCCAGTGTACTCCCAGTTTTGTAAGGCTCTGAAGTAATAGGTATTGCCACGCATGATGGTCATGTGGCCAAATGGCTTGGGAGTTGTGAAACACACAAAAAAATGATGTGTCATTTTCACATTAGATAAAACTCTGTTAGATCCAGATGATCAGAGTTACACAATACTGAATGTGGCCCTCAGGAGCTCCGTGGGCAGCTCATACAGGAAATACAGACCCCTCATACAGCACACGTTCAATTCGTGTTGTAAATAAACCACCTCAGCATATGATCGTAACACCCAGTGAATTAATTGCTTCATTTCTTCAGCCTTGTAGTAAACAGTTTTTACTGCCTCTCAGATTGCAAAACGTTGGTTATTTTACTAATGAGCTTGCACAGCACTCTATTCGTGCTAATGAATATGAACTTTGTGTAAATAAAAATTAAGACAAATTGAATTTCCTGCTGTCTAATTCACAAGGATAATATTTTTTGTTAGAAGCCTTGACAGAAAGAAAGCTTATCATAAGCTTGTCAGGTTGGTTTCATTACTGACAGCAATTGATTGTGCTGTTCTCATTTAAAATTGATACTTGATTTGTAAATCCTTTTTTTCAGATGGAATTCCCAGATTACACAGCAACTGAGTTATGGATATACTGTGTATGTACATATACAAACCAAAAATGTCTTGAAATAATTTATTATTGATAGATACAAGAGCAATATCATTCAGAAAAAAAAAAAAAAACAACTGTGTTTGATCTATTTTTTTTGGCTTTCTGAAAAATAAAAGGGAATGTTGTGGTTTATAGAAGAAGTCATAAGAAAAATAATCCCAAGATCTGTGCCAAGATAGTGTAAAAATAAAATTTAAAATGGCTCCACTATGCTGTACAAGAAATATCTTTTCTTCATTTGTCGCACTTTTTTCCTTGCTCTTTCCTGACATAAACTGTACAACCACAAGTGAATGTACAACAGTGTGATGAACAGAAATCAGTAAGAACTTGTTCCCCAGATCAATATTGTACTGCACAGTACAATATTTGTGGTCTGCTGTTGTTTTTTAAAAAACTTTATTTTGATTTAAGCTGTAGAATTAGAACAACATAAATCTGCAGTAGTTCATTGGTAAATAAAATCTGTTTCTCTAGCTTTGTGTTAAGTTGCATGAATACATTCTCCATCAGCACCCCAGTGATGAGAAAAGTCTGCGCTGCTCACATGCCATCTTGCCATTTCATTTCATACAGGTGCTTACAGATGTCTCTGTGCCTTTCTGTAGACTATGACATTTTTGTTTCCAACCCTTGACGAAGAGTTTCAGTTAGGTCTCCTTTGTTTTACATTTGAATATGGTGCCAAAGGAATGTTGCATGTTCTGGCAACAGCTTTGAGAAACGGGATGGAAGAAACCACATGCTTTTGACAGTGCAGAATAGAGCTACATTGCTCTTAGGCAAAGATAGTGGTTTGGATTTCTGCTTTAATGACGTTGAGTTGTTAAGTTTTGCTTAACTCACTTCTGCCTTCTAGCAATCTCCTCCAGGTCAGTATTTTCATATATTGCAACGCTAAAGCAAAATAAGTCCTGTTTTTGAAAATCAGGATTTTGGGTCCTATACTTCCAAATCAAGTTTGGAAAATCTTGAAAATATCTTTTTCTGGAAGATCTCTGAACATCTCTCCAGAAGAAACTGATGGATTCTGTGAAGACTATGCACCTTTCTCCCATCACATGTGTTAGGCTAACTAAAAATTTCATGGACAAGCACGAAAGATTTCTGTGGAGAAAATAAGCATTTCTGATAAGAGGCTCATCGTTCATGTTTATTTTGATACTGTTGATTATGTACATAAATATAGCTGAGAAAAACCTACTTCTTGTCTCTATGAAGTAGAGAACTGATGACAGTCCAAGTATCATTATTATAAAGACTTAGCACCAATAGCAATATTTCATTGTGTTTGAGAAATGAATGCAACTCATTTATTTCAGCATTCAAACGCAGGACTCTTACTTGTTTGTTGTACATTGTCTGTTCTTGCCTCATTTAGCAATCAGCCTGCTCAAAATGCAGACTAGTTGTCCTCAGTTTCTCAAGACATTGAATAATACCTGGAAAAACATATCCAGCGAAGCATTAAACACCCACTTAACTTTAAAATAGGAGGTTAGTACCAGGCTAGGACCAGGCCCTGAGCAGCCTGATTTAGCTGTGGATGTCCCTGTTCATTGCAGGGGAGTTCACAGAATCACAGAATCCTTAGAGTTGGTAGGAACCTCTGAGGTGCATCTAGTCCAACTCCTCTGCAATGAGCAGGGACACCACAGCTAGATCAGGTTGCCCAGGGCCTTATCCAGCCTCACCTTGAAAGTCTCCAGGGTCGGGGCATCAACCACATCATTAGGCAACTTGTTCCAATATCTCACCACTCTCACTGTAAAATTTTTTTTCCTTATGTGTAACCTAAACCTACCTAAAGACAGTACTCTTTGAGCTTGAGTTGGACTAGATGACCTTTAACATTCCTTTCCAACTCAAAAGATTCTATTATTCTATGATAGTTTAAATCCTCCTGGGATAAAACACAACACCAGCCATGACTACATGTGTTTTGCTAAATATTGGTGTAAAAATCTCAGTGCAATCCTAGCTGACACATTTTGGGAAACTGCCGAATATATGTGATTTAATTGTTTTTTAATGATTTAATTGTTTTCTTTGGGCCATATCTAATTTTACCCATGTTGATACTCCATTTTCATATCATGACTGCCATGTTTCTTCAAAATCTCACTTGTGCCAGTATGAGAATATTGTTCTTGGTTACAGGGTCTGGATCACTTTTCCAAGAGCAGGTTCTATGGACTCCTGGTGATCCAAAAGATTTCAAAAAGTGACATGGAACTGAGTTCAGATTATTAAAAGCACAACAAAGCCAAACAAAAAGTCTTTACTATATATTTCCACATAGAGCAAAGGAAGCAAGTCAAATCAGAAGATTCATAAAAGTGCACATTCATAATGCAATTTTTACAGTTTGAAACTGAAAGCTGTATTTCAACATTGCAGTCATTGAATTAAAAAAAAAAAAAAAAGCTGAGTAACACTGATCCACAGGATGCAAAACAACCATGAGGAGTGCTACAAAGACATAAAACTCGAAATAGGTTTTTCTGAGTAATTTCTGAGGGGAAAGAAAAGGAATTCCATAAAGTTGGTTTTAATACTAACAAGTTGGTTCCAATACTGACAGCAATTGATTGTGCTGTTCTCATTTAAAATTGATACTTGATTTGTAAATCCTTTTTTTCAGACGGAGTTCCCAGGTTACATAGCAACTATGTTACGGATTTACTGTGTATGTACATATACAAACCAAAAATGTCTTGAAATAATTTATTACTTTTATTTTTTACCAAATAAAATGTTTCTTTTAAAGCTCAGCTCATTCCTCTGTTCTTGTTTTCACTGGCTCCTATTGTTAGCAACATATTTCATTTCAAAATTCAGAGTATCTTTTAAAAAAACACTGACAGCAGATATGTTGAGCAGAACGTTGTAAATGGAGGTCTCAAGGCTGCATGTGGCAGCATCAGTGTTTTATGTACAGGACATACATCCCGCCTGACCAAAAGAGGAAGGAACAAGGCTGACATCACTTTAATATAAAAATTTGGAATAAAATATAAGTATCAATAAGCAAGATAAAGCATTAAACAGAGTAAGATCTACTGCGTTAGCATCCCATGTTTACCTGCAAACCCTTGTATTTATTTCCTGTTAACCCCTTCTTGCTCATGATGTCAGGTTCAGTAGTCTTTTTGTTCCCTACTTCCACCTCCACTTTAATTTCTTGTTTCCTGTTTACATGGAATATCGTTCAGAAATCTTTGCTCCTCACTGCTTGCCTTGTAAAAACTATTGACAATCACTTCCATCACATTGTTTAAAAGAATTAGCTTCCAGCAGCTTCCCTATGCATGAGTGCACGCTACTACTGAATGGCTAATGACAAATTGATTTTCTGTCATGAATATATGTTTGGTTCTTTTGGAAAACAAGTAGCAACCAGTAACCTTTCTGAAAAGCTTACAGCCTGTGTGTAGACTTAATGAAGAAAGGAAATGAAGAGGAAGAGAGCAAGTGAAAAGTGAAAAAAATGAAAGTTACCTAAGAGTGAGGAGGTGAGAAGGGTTGTGTTGATGTTTATGCAGGCATACATGAATGTACGTGTATGCATAATACTGTATGTCCAACTTATAGAGGAACTTTTACTTACATAGAAAAAGAAGTAAAATTCATTTCGTTCAATTGAGCTCAGGGCTTTCTTCTGGTCTCACCTACAATAACTCATTATAATTCTCATTCCTTCTTTCCTTCCTGCTTTTCTCTCTTATGCCCAACCTGACCTTACCCTACCAGCAGCGTTCTCAGCAGCATTTCACTAGAGAAGCACTGAAAAAAATACCTTCAGTTATAAAAGAGATTAAACATTGCCCTGTCCATAGCGTGCAGTTTCAAGCCCATCAGTCGCGGTTTTCACAATTGTTCTTTATGACCTGTTCCTCAAAAGTAAAAGTATCTCAGTGTTTTCCAAGGTGGGACGGTTTGGTATAGCTTTGCTGAGGTATATAAACAGACTCGTCAAGGAGGCAGCCTGTGGCTGGGGTCAGGATGCTCTCAGAAACAATTCATGATGGTTCCTCCTAACTAAAAGCAATCAGTATATGGCCACTGTACTGGAGCTTAGCACACTAATAAGCATATCAGCCAGAGAATTGCTGTGGAAGTGTCGTACCTCAAGATTTGAACCCTTTATTCTTCCTCTTCTGAGAAACATGAGTATTTGGAGGAAAGTATATAAGGAATTGGAGGAAAAATGAACTAGGTAGATTAGAAACATGTCACTAGATTTTGTTCTGATACCTCAGATAAAAGGCTTTAGGAGGACAACGTACACCATCAGTCACCTAATACTTAGGTTTCTAGTTATCTCACTGAAACTCACCCTAGGCTAAGATGGTCTGTGTACTGCAAATCTTTAGTGGAGGGAGCAGGTTTTTGGAGAAATGCTTGTTTCACTCAAACAGCTCACAGCAGAACCGTTCTGCTGTTGTTTAGGGGACCATGCCATCATCCTCTAATACTTTCAATGATCAGGCTTGAAAATGCTTTTAAAGGACAAGATCACAAATAATTGGATTGAAAAGAGAGTCTTTCTCACTTACTGGAAAAAAATAAGACACAAGAGAATTGTACCTCCCTCTACAGATTTCAAGTACAGATGTCCCATGAACTGGCTCTTTTAAACTAAATATCCTATCGGATCTGTTGTGCCCAGCATGCAGACTTAAAGTAATAAAGCCATGCAAACAATACAGTATTGAGCCTTTGAGAGATTAGTAACAGAACTAATTTTTTTCTGGAGCATCTTGGTCCTTATTTTTCTTCCCCCCATAAATGTGGCCAGGGAGCAAAAGATATTGAAAAGGAGACTAAGCCAGAGGGCACCTCTGTGTCTTGTACCCTACTCACAGTGCTTCTCCTGCTGGCACCTGTGCACTGCAGTTTGGAGGAGGCTGTGGGGGTTAAGCACTGCATTTAAACTCTTTATAATCTCTAGAAAAGCTTATCTTGAAAAGATGCATCATATTTAATGCTCACTGATTTCTCAAGGAAATAAATTAATGCTTCTAAAATTTTTTAGGCCTTAAAATTATTTGTGCTACCTTGCTGCCTTCAGTCACCCACTGAAACTCCCAGGGGTGCATTTCAGAGGGATCTGCCTTCCAGAGAATAAAGAAAATTTACTGATTTTTTGGTCACATGGGCAACTTGGAGGGATTATTTTCAAAAGGAAGTAAAAAATACATTGCCTTCTTCAGATGGCAAGTCTTAGAAAATTTGAGTAATAAATTAAAAAATACATAAATAAACAAGTTTGAACAGGAAAAATGCATTCGTTTCCTTTTTGAAAATAATAGTAATAATCTTATTTTTTAATTTACCAAGATCATTACTTAATAAATCCTCCTACCTAATTCTTGTTATTACTTAATAATTCCTCTTCCTTTTAATTTTAAATAAGTCCATTCATTATGACTGCCTTGGGTTCTAAACTTACAGGAAACACAGAACAGATGACCTTGCAAACTTTGGCTGCCTCAAGTTTCAAGAAGTATACCATGAAGCATATTCTAGTGCATTCTGCAGAAGTAATTAAAAACCTTCTTCCTCTTATTTGAGAAGCAGGAACCATTATGCCCTTGAATTCTTTAGAAATTACTTTATTTGTGAGAGAAAATATGAAATATTTACTATCATAATACTTAAATACACCCCTATAAATCTCTTAATTAAATTGGAAAAAGAATCTGAGATGAGAAAAGAGTTATTAGTCTCTACATCTGTTCAACGCAGCCAAAGTGCGCACTGACATACTTTAATTCTCTGACAGCAGCAAACCAAATTTGCAGCAGTTTGAAGAGGCAGGCAAAATAATGTGGCAAATAAAAAAAAAATTGTAAAGAATGGGCTAGCGTTTTCCATACAGCACTAAAAACACCTGCTTCTTTAGAATTTAAACATAAATCTCAGAAAAATTAGAGAAGACATAATCCTCTGCAATTTATATGACAGAGCTGAGTTTTCCCTTGCTGAGCACCACTGAGGTGAGACAGTCTGCCAGGATGCTGCTCAGTGTGTGCATTGCGCAATGAATGGGCTGCCTCACCTGGTGTATTTAGTGCTTCTTAAAATTCGGAAAGGCAGCTCCCGTCCAAACACATTTTTTTCTGTCCTCCTTATAATTGTGTTTATTTAGGTTTGGAGCTCAAACCAAGAGGTACTGCACCTTATTCTGGCTTTCTCTC